CGAAGTCAATGAGAAAGAAAAAGAAAAGGCCAGACTCCATCTTTGGCTGTCGGACAATACGCACATTGCTGATATTGGGCCGGTATCCGGGAAGGAAGAGGACGTCGCCGCCAGCTCCCTGTTGTACAAAAGTGGTGGAAGTGACGATAATAATGAGGAGAAGTTGATTGCACTGTACGAGAAGAAAGACGATATCGGAAGAACATCTGGCATGGTCTCTGTGCGTCTGACTGAGCAGCTGCAGCGGGTGAAGAAGGTGCTGGCGACCTGGAAGGAAGTGGACGAACGTATCTCCAAGCTGTGTGCCACTTTACTTGCTCAGGAGGATACCTCACCTGGCAATGCCCGCACTACTGATGGTAAGATCACGGATGGGCTGGTTGGCTTTTTGTCCGGCAACTTCTCTGAGAACACATGGAGGGACGAGTACCTCGGGGTGAACGCAACAGTAAATAATAAAGGTGGGGCTGCAAAGGCGGAAGATGGTGTGACGTTCCAGGGAGCGTGGGCGGAGTGGCCCGTTGGCAGGCAGGGGGAGAATCAGCTGTACCACTTTGCGAACCACAACTTCACTCTTGTGGCGACGGTGTCCATCGACAAGGTGCCGAAGGAAGATACCTCCATTCCATTGTTGGGTGCAAAGATGACAGGTGCAGGGAATTCTGTATTTTTGGGACTGTCGTACGGCAAGGAAAAGAAGTGGCAGTTGCTGTCCGGTGACGAAACCCCTAAGGAGCACAGCAGCACTTTGGGGACAGAGAAAACTCAACACGTGGTAATTTTGCTACGGAACGGCAACCAGGGCTCCGCGTACGTCGATGGTAAGCGTGTGGGGAGTGCGTCGTGGAATTTGGATAATACGGATTCGAAAGAGATCTCCCACTTCTACATTGGAGGGGATGGAGGCAACGCGGACGACAAAGAAAGCCGAGGAGACGTGTCTGTGACGGTGAAGAACGTCCTGCTGTACAACCGCCCGTTGAATGACGCGGATATTTCTGCGCTCAACGCAAACAAAATTTCTATTCCAAAGACAATGGCAGGGGATACTTCTTCATCTGCGGTGTCTCGCCCGAATCGTCCTGCTGAAGATTTGGCGGAAGGAGCAAAGGGTGAAGGTACCGCTCGTGACGGTGGGGCGCATGGTGATGCCGGCACTTTGTGGGGGAGCAGACTGCTGCCATCGTTGCTTCTTCTGTTGGGACTGTGGGGGTTTGCCGCTCTGTGAGGAGTGACTGGCTGCCGCGTGGGACAATTGCGACCTCCACTGCACCGACACACACACACACACACACACACACACACACCTGGCAATGAATACCTCTTCTCAAATAACTCTTATTTACTTCTCCCCCTGTTTGCCTTGTTGTGCTTTATTAAGTTTTCGTTTTGTTGTGTTTTTTTTCTCTGTTTGCCTTAAAAAATTTTTATTGCTTTTTAAAAATTTCTTTGTTTTTGGTTGTGCGTTTTTCCTGTTTTTTTTTTTTTTGTTTTTTGTTTTTTTTTATCTCTCATCCCTCTTTTTTTTTGGTCATTTGTGGGCAATCACTGTGGACGTTTTTTCTTTTCTACTCTTCCCTCTTTAATTGTTTCTTCTGCACTCTTCCTGTGAGGGGTGCCGTGTGTTTCCCGCCCAACTGCTCCACTCGCACACCCACCGACACGCTCATGACGACGGCCCTGTGCGCCTCGCCTGCTGCACGCATGAGGAGGGGCCGCGACGAACGGCGCGCTGAGGGAGCCGTGACGTGTGGGCGTGCGACGAGGGCCTGTGGGGCGGAGCACACATTTCTTTCCCTCTTGTTTTGTTTTCTTTTTTGCGGCCAGGGCGGGCAGACACCCGCAGCGCCACACGCACACAGCCACACCCTGCCGCCGTGTTTTTAAGATTTTTTGTTTCTTTTGTGTGGCTGTGTGTGTGCCGCTGCCACCGTGCATTATTGTTGAGTTCTCGCCGTACCACATGTATCGCTGCCATCCAGCTGTGCCTCTTGCTGTGCTGATGTGCTTCCCTGTGCTCTTCTTCTTTTTTGCTCCTCCAGCACACACACACACAAAAGTATTTGCACAGTGCTCTGCAGGAATGCTCTTGGCGACGGCGGGGCGTCGAATTGCGTATCCCGTGCTGAAATGGCGAGGCCGTTGCGTGTCTGCCTACGGTGGGATCACGGTGTCATTGTATGGATGCGTGTGGGTCGCTTTTTTTGCATTTGGTTGGATGCCGTCTGACGCGGCTGCACGATGCCCGCCTTATGTGAGGGTGCTGCCTGCTCTTGGGGTCATTCTTCTCTCCCCTCTGTTTTTGCTCTGCGGGTGCGTGCGTTGCTCGGTGTGTGCTGACGCGTGACGGACGGTGCCACGATGGCCTCCTCTGGCGATGACAGTCGCTGTGCTCTCGGCACACTTCCACACACACTTCCTTGTTTTTTTGTGGGTGTGATTGCAGCAGGGCATTGCTGCGAGCGTGATGGGGACCACGACGGCGCCACCCCTCGAGGAGCCCACACGCTCTGTTGGTTGTGGAGGGGCGAGGCGGTTTGACTGCAGCCCGACTGACAGAACCGCACAGTCGTTTCATTGCGGTCACTCCGTCGGCATCACCCGCCGCGGTGGTGCCCGCAAGAGCCGCAGCCCCGATGAAGATGGCCTCGTAGCTGTCGGGCAGCTCAGAACTTCCGGCCATTCGACCTTCAGGATTGTTGTTGCTGCTCGACTGTAGCAGCACCGGCCCGGCATGGTTCTTATGCAGGAGTGCAGGCACGAGAGTGACGTAGCAACGAGGCTCGTTGGCTTCAGTGACCTCCAACAGGCCTGCAGTGGGCGTGCCCGTGGCATGGTCTTCGTGGTGCGCCACATCTTGCCGTGCGAGCGCCTGTTGCTCGTGGCACCAACTGCGTGGAGACCACCGACTTCTGCCTGTACCCACCGTCGATGCATGGGGAGGCGGCGACGAGAATTCCGCTGCCGGGCGCTGCCGTCCCCAAGGAACCGCGACGCGTTTGCAGTCAAATGGGGATCTCCCCGGATCACATTCGCCTCTCATGCTGAGCAGCGAATTGCCGCCTGAGACGCTGTGAGCTGCAACGAGGCGTGCGTCTTCCAGCCGCGGCGTGCCCATGACACACTGGACGGCGTCAGACGATCGGCCCTTGAAGCGGCCTGCGCCTCTCTGCGACCGCATGACGCAGGCCGCTGAACGGACGGCCCGTCTCTCGCTGAGCATGCGTCTGGATCCGCTGCGCTGCCATTTGACTCCCCGGACGGCCGACCTCCCTGCGGGGTCTCCACCGCACAGCTGCTGGTTGCCTTGCACGGCCCTGCCGAGCGGAGTGTCTTTTCACCAAGCACGGCCACGGACATTTCTTCATTTCCCCGCCTGGCAGCAGCATCCCAATCGCCCACAAGAGTTCCTGCCGCCACAGACTCCCTCTCGGCGGTGGAGGCGCTCCGCCTTGGCCCGCTGGCGGTGCACGACGACGTCAGCGAGGGAATTTGCGCCGTGCCGCCTTCACTGGCGGATCGAGGTCGCACTGTTGGCTCCACATTTTCCCCATGGCACTGCGGAATCCCACGCAACGTGACAGCGGACGCTGACGCCGTCATGGCGCGATCCTTCCCGCATGACTGCGCCAATGCCTGGCACGTGGGCTTCCTCACCGCAGTCAGGCGACCGTACGGGAGGGATCTCCAGGAGGAAAAGGAAGACGCGCACACCGCATGACAGGCGCTCTTCGGTGTGGCGAGGACTCTCTTCCTGGTGTTGACCCCGACATCGCGCCCCGAGTTGCGGCACTGCGCGGATGCGATGCGACTCCTGCCCGCTCTTCGGCAGGCCTGCACGCGCCCTGCAGATTACAAGTAACTCTCTGTGTCGGTGGCGCCGCTTTCTCACCGAGGAGACCGGCCTGCCTCCGCCTCCGCCGGAACATCTTCCCGACGTGAACACCGCCACTCCTTGCCGACCAGCGAGCGGCGGATTAACGTCCTCCTGCCCAATCTTCGGCAGAGTGCACTCGCCCGTCCACAATATGAAGGCACATGCCCGACATACTCAGCCTGGCGTTCCGATAGTTGAGAAGGTCTCCCATGCGGCTGCCACAATAGCGCCGCCGCCATATCGAGAGGCGCCTTAAGAACAGGTCGCCCCCGAAAATGCCAAGCGTATCAACGGGCAAAAAACGGACAAAGTACCTCTGCAAGCTCCAATGACAACCATAGCCCTCCAGCCACTTCGCTACTGCAGCCGCCACCAGCCGCTGAGCCGCCTGATGGTCCACGGGAGGCCCTGCCGCACATGATGTGGGATAACCCCTCTCGCACGATAGCACCGTTTTAGGCGGAAGAACTGGCCACGTTTCTACGGACAGTCCTCAGCCTATCAGCGAATAGTGGCCGCAACGTATAACAAAAAGAAAAATTTCATTTATTCTCAGTAGAAAAAAACTTCATCGTTACAGTCACAATTTTCACACAATGAATTCATTGCGTAATGCCGCTCTGAGCTGCAATACTTCCTGGCATCATCCAGGTCCCTTGTCGAAACATTGATGCAGATAGGCGCCCATCCATTCCTCACGATGACGGTGTATGTCTGCGACGCACCCTCTGCTCCAAAAGGGCACGTCATTCGCCACAGCCGAGATCAACTTGGCGCTGGCGGCACGCATCGCCTTGTCAGAGGGAGAAAGGGTACGTCAGGGTGACGGCAAAGCACCCGCATGCACAGCACATCACAGACATCATCACAAGCAGAAGTAACAGCAGCGCTGGTGGCTGCGGGGTGACGTGGATCAACTGACGCATGGCACGCGTATAGAAAACCTGGTGGCCCGACAAGAATACAAGAGGGTGACACTTTTGAAACAATGAAACAATATGAGAATATAAGAAGAGAAGATAAAAGTGTCCGCAGTCATCATACACACACACACGCAGCCCGCGGAATGGGTGCACTCAACCTCAAAACAATGAAAAACAAAACAAAAAATGGAAAAACAAGAGCCGTGTGACAACCAGCGCACACACTTTCTCATTGCTCCCGTAAAGCAAAACACACACACACACAGGGAGAGAGAGAGAGGTCGCCCACTCAATGCAATAAAAACAAAACAGAAACAGTTACGGTGCTCCGCCCATGCAGCCAGGCAGGACGGCGGCGGTGCGTGTCGTGCAAAAGAGAGCACCAACGGGCCTGCATGGGTGTGCATGCATATATACAATGGGCACATTATGTGTGTGCTTCGTGGGATGAGGTGAGGGCGAGAGTCCATGCAAGGGGACACACACAGAGAGTGAGTGAAAGACGAGTGTGTGTGCGGGCGGTGCACGGCTCTCTCTCGCTCACTCTCACGCGGCCACCACCGCAGCAGCAGCAGCACACGCAACAAGAAGAAGAAGCAAAAGAGGGGAGGTGGTGTGGGAGACCGCGTTGCTGCTCTCACGTTCACCAGGCGTCGTATCATTTTTTTTGGCGACGGTGGTGGCTGTTGTTTCTGCTCTTTGTGGTTCGGCCTCACTGGCTGTAGGAGCATCGTTGGTATTACCAGTTTCGGGGCTGCTGTTGTGTTCTTTGGAGGTAGGCCGTTCATCGGTGTCATCATCCTTGCCCTCCTTTTCGTGGGCATCTCCACTGTCAATTGTAGAGATGGATGTTGCTGTTGTTTTTCCTGGGTTGTCGGTAACTGCATCCTTCATTAAATCCGCTGGGGCTTCTTCATGACGTTTTCGTTCTGGCAGTTGATCCCCTAAAGATGTTTCCAGTGCTTCGGACTCCGTTTTAGTTGTTAACGGCAAGTTTTCTAGCGGTTGATCTTTCTTATTCCGTGATTCCGTTGGCGCTGGTAGACCTCCCTTCCCTGGTGGATCGGCCGGCGTTTGTGTTATTTCTTGTGGTGCTGGTGGTGCAGGTTGGTTGCTGGAAGGACCTGTGGTTCCCATGTCACGCTGCTTTACACCTTCTCCAGCCGCACCACCACCAACAACTTGATTTCCTGCCTTTTCTATTGTATGAGACAACTGGTCATGTGCTTTGGTTATTGTATCCTCTTGTACCACCAATTCGGGCAACAAAGGCCTTGTAGACATTTCTTCTGACTTCGGGTCCTTTTCCGGGGATTTCCTGCTCTTAGCAGGTATCGGACCGCTGAGAGCATTTGAATCAACAACCTCGTTGAGAATAGAGGATGAGGACAAATCATCATGGGAACGAGAATCCGAATGACCACGAACACCTTCCCTGTCGTCACCGAAATTGTTAACAATACCTCCACTTCCACCAGAACCACCACCACCAGCAGTATCCGCATTTGAATTTTGACTTGACTGGGAATTAATGTCAGCGGTATTAGAAACGACTTCGTCATCCGAGGCTTCTGCAGCAGTGATGGGCAAAATAGAACGCATTGCCAGCCCGACATCAGTTTTATCACATCCGCTCGACAAATAAGACATTTTCCCTCCAAACCCTCCTGACGTCATGCAGACACCAACTGCGTTGTTTTCGTGATTAGTCGCATCAACTCCAGGAGTACCGCACCACAGCACGCAGAGGGCACACACCAGCAGCACACGGCCAGTCATCATCAATGCCATCACTCCTGTCACTTGCGTGTAGCCTTCAGCACAAACTAACAACACGTCAACGCAGAGTGAAAACAACACGAGAGACAAGTCACACAGCCACGCACAGCCAAAGTAACAAACGGCAGCATCCGCAGCACAACATGGGGCAGTTGGAATCGGTGCGATTGCAGAACACGCACACAAACACACAGCCCCGCAGCAATGAATCAGCAAGAAAAATAAACACAAGGCAATTAAAAAAAACACGAGTAAAAAACAGCAATTTTTTAAAAAGGTGAAAATACAAGAGACAAACAGATGCACAGAATGGCTCCAGTGTGCATGCACCAGCTCACACAGAAATGCTTCCACGCAAACAGTTGTGAGTGTGTCGTGCATATGAGTGTGTCTGGGATGCGTGCCAAGTGACGGATGTGGGGAGCAACAACATGGAGCACACAGCAGCGCAGCCAAAATAAATGAAGCAAAACACACAATCATTATTTTCTATTACTTATTACGCAATAAAACAAAAGAAGCTCTCAAAACATCCCGTGGTTGAGTGCTGGCTTTAATAGCCCGCATACACTTCTTCAGCCCACTGTCCCCTACGCAAGCGCAGCCAGAACAAGCAGTGGCAGGGTATGCAGACGGGTGTCATGGAAGCAGGCGTCAGTTCCCACACTGTTCTCCAGCGCGTTCTTTGTGGGCGCAGAGGAAAGGGGAGCCGGCATGCTTGCCGCCGTAGAATTTACTTCTCTGGAAGCAGTGTCGGTGGTGGTGTCGGCGGTGACCTCTTCGGCGCCTCCCGCTGCACCCCCGTCCTCGCCGGTCTGGGACAACTGAGTCGGTGGCGCAGCAGCAGTCTCTTCCTGCAGCTCCACTGGAGGGTCATGGGAGGAGTGGCCGCCGCCTTCTGTGAGCTCCGGGTCTGGTATAGATTCGGGTGCAGCAGAAGTAGAATGTGCAGCGCCTTGAAGTTCACCAGAGGGAGCGGGATCCGACGCTTGCGAGGCCGCAGCAGAAGGATCCGTCGTGGCCGCAGCGCCAGCAGCAGAATTAGCACCAGCGCCGCCCGGAGTTGCAGGTAGAGGAGGAGGAGGGGCACCAGTCGCAACCTCAACGACAGCAGAAGAAGATTCGGAATTTGTTGTGGAGGTGTCACCGGGAGCCTTCTGTTCTTGAGAGCCCAGAGGTTCTGCTTCCAAAGGTTTGGCCGGAACACTTACAACGGTGGCCGCTTTCGGCTCCACGTTACTTTCCCACCAACTCTTCACCGCGCTTGGAGTGGGCGCATCGACGTTGATCGTGAAGACACCATCATTCACAACTCCTTTGCTGCGCCTCTCAGCAGATTCGGACGCACATTTTCCGTCGCCCATGCCGCAAATCATCTGTCCCACACCACTATCTTCAACCGTGCAGTTGTACCACAATGACTTCCCAGGGAGTTGCCAACGCACGAGTTTATCCTTACCCGCACACTCTACATCCACCTGAAGCACCTGCGGCTCCTCCTCATCCCCCGCGGCAAACACGCACGAGCAGCAGCACAGCAGTGCCAGCACCAACACGACACAGAACACACGGCAAATCATTTTTTTTTTTTTTCTACTCTTACCAGCGCGTCTAGCTATACAATGCCATCTGAGTGCCGAAGAGGTGGTCGAGCAGCGACAAAAGTTTCCTGCTATGAAGCAACTGCCATTGAGAGAACTTTTCGGTGCGGAGGTCCTGTTCAATGCCAGCCGTTGGCGCACAGCCAAGGTGCCTGGACATTCTAGAAGCAGATGGTGCAAGGTTTCCTGCGGGCCAATTGGCGTGCTTGTGGAAGCTGGCTGATCCTGTGGTAGCAGAGATCGCCTCCTGGCACTTCTGTTTAGATGCCGTGTGGCGTCTGGGTTGTGTGCGCAGCGACTTCTGTGCTGTGCGGTGCTTCTCCGTGTGGGGAAAACCATATCACAGAAATCGCATTTGAGCTCGGGAAGCGGTGGAGGATGTTCCGGATGAAATGACCGACAGTGACTGACGAGATTCGAGAATCCCGTCAATGTAGAATCACAGTACGGACATTTCTCCTTCCGACGACGTGTGATGGTCCGTCTCCTTACTGGAGAGACGTCTTCCTCCCTTGCCGACGGGGGAACAGTGTCCGTCCCCGGTGCAGTTGGATCGTTGTTAGAGCGCATATATGCAGACTGTTCTGGTGAGATGTTGCAGAAACGGCATTGGTTCGTGCAATCTCTCACAGCCCAGTATAGTCGGCCCCAGAGCTCAGATTCGCCGCACCTTGCCCTTGCGAGGTGAACCAGTTCTTGACGGTGAAGAACTTCCTGAGTGATCAGGTCCTTACCGCTGAGATCTGATGGCCTTGTGCCGCAAAGCAAGTAGCGATGAG